CCTGGGAATTTGCGTTTCAAAAAGGCAGGGAAATTTGATGGAGTACCTCAAAGTTTTGATGCAAAAACGCATGATCGCACCGACTCGCCTGGTGCGTTCCAGCCTCGGTTGGAATTTTTGGCGGTGCAAAAAAAAAATATGGGGGGTGTGAACAAAAAAAAAAAAAGTTATTGAAATAGTGGGATAAATTTGTCGATGGTCAAATAGCTGCAGGCGCAAAGTCAAAAAATAACTGTTTGCTGCTTCCCAGCTTTTGTTCTTATCCCACTGTGATTGTCTATCATTAAATGACTATTTCAACTTTTTTTGTCAACTTTTTTCCGACAAGTATAGCACATTTCTTGTATAATTTTGATTTTCGCTTAACTCGTTATGGCAACATCGAAAGTTTCACATTGATAATCTGCTCAGTCTAACTGAATCTGATTTATTAAAACAAGATCTTGCACGAAGCAAGGGGCGAGTAGCACGGTTGCGCATCTTTGTGATGAACTGTTGCCAGTGTTGCTCCAGAAAAAGCATGCTTTTCGGTTATAATTTTTTTGAAGGTAATTGCTGCAACTCGGTTCAACTCAGCGCAATGTGCACTCGTTTTTGCATTTGAATGTGAGCTAAGAAACACGTAGTCGTGCACAAGTACTGGGTTTTTTGTCAACTTTAAACTTTAGGTGTTACGCATAAGCCTTAACTCAGCGCTTAGATTCGGTATTCTCCTTTCCTGCTTCCAGTTCCTACCTTCAACCAAAACTCAGCTCTTTTTATAGTCAGTACCCCTGCCCCCTGTTCTCTGTTACGTCCCCCAAGATCCCATACACCACCCTATCCCTCTTCTTTCCCGTTCCTTCCACCCATCTTTACATCTACTCCACCGTCGAGGAAAACATACCACAATCATCACAACTTGCCTTCCAGCCAGCCCGGTCTAACCGAGTTTTAGCAACTGCCTTATTCGCTGCATAAAAAGTACCATAATTTTGGATTTCTAGCGTTTTCGAGTGATTATTGAATTGTGCATACAGTGCATACAAGTTTAAGACGAATCATATTGAGGCCTGGTAGATGATTTTATGTCGACCGCCGCTTATCATGAGGTGAACAGTAATCTCAGAATTTCGAGTTAACACAGTGTTTTACTCATTCTGAAAACAGGAAATTAATCTGAATTTAGGTTGGAGTTCTGTGAATGTGTAGGTTGGGAATTTGTTGGCACCAATTAACTCGGTAGCCAGACCGAGCATGAAGTAGTATTTTTCTGAGGATGTTTTTTATTCAGGTGAGAGCCAGCAAGAGTGAAATAAACCTTTGCAAAAGCATGCGTTCGGCGTACAGATATATCACTGCCACCATGCTACTGTCGGCACTCAGCAGGCAAGAAAGCTGAAATTTTATGAGAGTACTATCTCATTCTATGTGAACGAAAAAAGCAATAGGAGCTTTCACGTGCTCTAATGTCTCGCCTAAGGATGTGGCAAATTTCAGGTCTATAAAAACGCATGATCGCATTGGATGCTTGATACGTGTTGCTTCCTAAGTTTATTTCTATTTCTTATGCTCAGAAAATTCTGTCAGAGTCGCCTGGATGTCGATGTTCAGCTTTCTCTAAACTGCCATTTGTCATATACTACTAGAGTGACATACATTACTAGAGCGACATTAGGCGCGCAAAAATCTTACATTGCACTTATGTATCTTACACAGTTGCTACAGCCGACACTTTTTCAAAAACTCATAAAGCTGAAAAAAGTATAAAGAAAAACTTATTTGAGCGCTATGAAGGCGGGGAAACATGCATGAAAGGTGGGCAAGAGCGACAGTAATGAACGGTACTTTTGAAGCAATTGTGGTTGAAGCGAGTGGCGACGGAATTTTGTTGGAACAGCTGTAGGATTCGAAATCCATAGCGCAATGAAGCATGCAAAAATTCTCTGTGCCTCCTGCCTTTTGTCACTTTTCTCGTGCTTCTTTCTCCCCTTTCGCCCTCCCTTCCTCCTTCATATAAAATTTGCTGTTCGCGCTTGGTTTGACTAACCTACTGAAATAATAAATCAAATTTAGCGCGCGACGCTTCTGCCACGTCAGCGTGACATCTGCTTAATCATGGATGACGAGACAGTCCAGTGGAACTGGGACTGCTGCTTCTGCTGCTGCCGCACCACTCCTGCTAAATTTGAAGTTATCTCTGATCTTACTGAAAACTCTTTCCAAAAGTGCCTATTCCCCCTCACTGGATTTTTTTTTTTTGCTAGATATCTCCCATATTTAAAAATAATAACAGTAGCACCACTGATAGAAATCACTGACAGCAAACATTTTCAGAACCGTAGCTAATTTATAAGTAGCGATAAGCATCAGAGGCTGGCCTGACAACAATGAGTTTTTGCAGTAGGTTGTTCTGAGGAAACGCAGTCACAGTGGCGCAAAATCCAGAAGTGTGTTTATAGTGCGCTTGCACTCCTCGTGAGGTAATACATCGTTTCAATTTACATAGGCGGACACAATAGCTTTTGAAAGTTGATTTTACTTTTCCCGTTTTGTATATGGCTGGTGACAGTTTGTTTCCAGAATTTCAGTTCGACTCCCTAGCAAGTACGGCTACAGGAAGAGCTAGTGGAGCGAACGTGCAGACGAAGGAGGCCAGACGTAATCGCTTTTGTAATCCCGCATCGGGCAGAATAGAAAAAAAAATTTAATTTTACCCTTTTAGCTGTGTATATAATCTGGAACTACTCCCCCTCCCTCGCTTCGAAGTTAAATCTGATATCATTCACTGTAGCAAGGAACAAATGGGCGAAATCGTGTTGCGTGTTATTGCTGTGAGGACGTGCGAATTCGAGTTAACAGCAGATCATATGTGTGGACATGTCCGGAGATAAAGTGACATGAAGGCTAATTAGAATTTTTTGGAGCCGTACATAACAAGAAACTATGCTACAAAAGTTTCTAGTTCCGTCTTTCGTAGCTATGAAGTGAATCATTGCGAAAGACAGACTTTCACACTCAAACACACAAGCAAACAAACGTGGTCAGGCCGTTACGAGTTTTTTTTTTGATTTGTACAAAAGCGCATAAAAATCCTAAATTCAATTGCATTTGCAGAATTCGTTGGAATTTCGTTCTCATTTACGGTTTGAATTGCTTATGCTTGGTTTACACAGTGTTCTGGAACAACTTCGTAATTCGTCATCGGCGGTACTCAATGATCATTTGGACTTCTTTGAAATGAGCCGCCAGGAGGACGAGCAGCACTTCGCTAGGTGTAATTTTTCATGCATCCAAAAAATTCCAAGAGAATTTTTGTCATTTCTAGACGAAAATTTAAAAATTCATCTCGAGGGTACTTCAGTGCCCTTCAAATTAGTCAGCAGTGCGTTTTATCTGTATAGTTATGAAGAAGCATTTTATGCATCTTCTGATGAAAACTTATATGCCCTCTCAAAAAAATTGTCTTAAGTCAGTATTAGAAGAGCCCTGGTTCCTTTTACTACAGCAGTGTCCAGTAACCCAAATGGTGCTCCCTTTGCTAAATCTCGTCCCCTCAGTACAGAAACAACTTTTTTGAGACCGTATTTAGCGATTCTAAATTCTCTGTGACGCAATAAGACAAAAAATAAATCAAGACAAGATTGCATATATTCGAATGCCCAAGAAAACTATAGAAACAAGGAAGAAATTTTGTGAGTAAAGCCTTTAGCTATACAAGAGGCCTCAAAACTGAAATTAGCCACCAAGTCTCCACGTGCCCTGACTTTAACAGGGCATTCAAATTATTCTTAAAGCCGAAAAGCTTACAACATAAAATTTTCGAAATAAAGTTTGCGCTTTTTTTCAAAAACTAACTTTAAATTCACGCTTTTGTGTCGTGACATGAATTCAGGTTCAGCTTGAACCAGCTTTTTCGATTCGCAAACCACATTCGAGGAATGACTCCCTCACCATAAAGGAGGCTATAATCTAAGATCAACTAACGTCATCCAACTCCTGACATGTGGTTTTTGTTTCAAATTTGTGATTATTTTATAATAGCGGACAAAAAAGCAAAATCGGAATTTATGAAATTCATTGGGATCCTTAGCCCCCACTAACTAACTTTAATTGTTAAATTTTTCATATCCCAACACATTTTTTTGCCCTGCAGTGATTTTTGGGAAAAAAACAGTCATTTCTGTCTTATTAGCTGTAATATAATGGCTAATGTTTAGGAATGGTGATTCTGGAACTTCAACACCAGTCGATGTGGAAAATCCGTCAGATATTGTGGAAATGCTAATGCAGCGTTTGAGTAGTACCATTGCAATGCCGCATTTCATTTCCGTTTTACAACATCTGATGCTCGTTCCATCTGACGAAAAGCATGTGCATCTGTGGAGGTCAGTGCTTTCTGTGAGTGATGTTAGGTTTTCCTTGAACGAATGACCCAAAACTTCTTGGTGTTGAAAACCGATGCTGCATGGATTGACAATTGCATCCGCAAACGTAGCGTGAGCGGGATTAGGTCGGGAAGTGGGAATTAAATGACAACAACGAAAGGAAAAGAAGAAAAAGGCACATATCTCTTTTTTTTAGAAGCATGTGATAAATCATTGTTTTTTGTCCTAAAACTAGCAGCATTTTAGTATTTTCATAAGTTACTTTTGACCAATGATTTTTGAAAAAATGCTAGAAGGTGAAAACAAATTTTTTTTTTACGTGATGTTCCAGCAAATTGTCGAAATTGCTAGCAGTTCAAATTTTTAAGGCTGCCTTTAGTCTATAACTCTGACTTGCACTGAGCAAATCAATGAAACCTGTGCTGGTCTGAAAATAATCAGTAATTTTAGGTTATTTGACATTGTACTGCAGCAGCTAATACTACAAGCCAAAATGGACGTTTGTGTTGACGCCCAGGAACCTGTGGCCAGTTTCAACATGAATGAAATCTTGTCCAGGTCCTTCGCAATTTTATACAGTGTTTTTGCAGGATTACTGCATTCTACTTGTTTTTATGCGTTTTTGCTGTGCAGCGCTATAGCAGTGCTGCGCTACAGCCAGCAAAAACGCATATTGTCGAGAGGCTGTTTGTGTGTGTGTGCGTGTGTGTGTGTGTTCGCAAAGCGAGTGCATTTTGTCACCCACTTTCAACTCGACAATCAGAAAAGCTGGGGGGCTGAAACTTCGGATATATGTTCCTACCCCGTGTGTCATCCTCCCGT